AATCAGTCTTAGGAGAATCCTCGCTTTGCTGCATATCAGGCATATTGATATTAATGAGTTATTCAACATTCTAAGCTCCTTTTTAAAATTTATTAACTAGGTTTCATAGGTTTGATATAATGTATGTAAAGTTTTTCATATAGTCCTTGGCATAAAATAGACAATAAATGGTAGGTATTGTTATAATTATCATTAAAATTGAAGTACATTTTCTTAATGAAAGGATATTTTGAATAGTGAACATATTAGTTCTTCAACAGATATTCTCTATTTTCTAATTCTAAGACATACAAAATAAACTTTTGGAAAACATATGCCCTTTGTGCTCACATTCCTATACACACTTATTTTTTTAAAACCATGCCACATAATCTATGGATAATGTAACCGAGGATAGAGCAGACTAATCTAAGACTTAAATTTTCTGTTTTGAATTAACATTTATGCTGCAGAGAATTCCATGTATACATGAATACTGCCACCACCACCTTGCCCTTCTTTTTTAGTATCAAATAAATCTTTTCATTAAGTGAAAAAAACTTTTTATATTTTTCTTGATTATTTAATATTGAATAACTTAGTATTTATGTATTTACTATTTTACTATATTTTTTATTAAGATGTAATTGACCTACAATATTGTATTAGTTTCAGGTGTACAATATAGTAATTTAACATTTGTATACATAGTGAAATTACCACCACAGTAAGTCTAGTTACCATTTGTCACCATACAAACAAGAACAAGATTTTGTTCTCTTTTATGGCCAAATAGTTTTCCATTGTATACATATACAGCATCTTTATCCATTCACCTATCGACGGACACTTAGGTTTCCATATTTTGGCTATTGTAAATAAAGCTGCAGTGAACATAGGGGTACATATATCTTTTCCAATTAGTGTTTTTGTTTTCTGCAGATAGATACTCAGAAGTTGAGTTGTTGGATCACATGGTAGCTCTATTTTTAATTTTTTGAGGAACCTCCATACTGTTTTCCACAGTGACTGCACCAATTTACATTCCCACCAGCAGTGTATGAGGGTTCTCTTTTCTCTACAACCTCACCAACACTTGTTATTTCTTGTCTTTTTGATAATAGCCATTCTGACAGGTATAAGTTAATACCTCATTGTGGTTTTGATTTGCATTTCCCTGATGACTAGTGATTTATAGATCTTTTCATGAGCCTGTTGGCTGTATGTCTTTGGGAAAATGTCTATTTAGGTTTTCTACTAGTTTTTTAATCGGATAGTTTTTTTTGTTACTGAGTTGTATAAGTTCTTTATATATTTTGGAACTTAACCCCTTATTGGATATGTTTTGTAGATATCTTCTTCCATTCAGTACAAAGTCCTAGCCACAGCAATTAGGCAAGAAAAAGAAATGGAAAACATACAAATTGGAAAGGAAGAAGTAAAACTGTCATTATTTATAGATGACATGATATTATGTATAGAAAACCCTTAAGACTCCACCAAAAATTGTTAGAACTCATTAATGAATTCAGTAGAGTTGTAGGACGCAAAATTAATATACAAAAATCTGTTGTGTTTCTATACATTAGTAATATCAGAAAGAAGAAATCAAGAAAACAATCTCATTTATAATTGCATCAAAAGAATAACATACTTAGGAGTAAATTTAACCAAGGAGGTGAAAAGACCTGTACACTAAATTTGTAAGACATTTATGAAAAAAATTAAAGAAGACACAAATAAATGGAAAGATATTTTGTGCTCATGGATTAGAAGAATTAATATTGTTAAAATGTCCATACTATCCCAAACAATGTACAGATTCATTGCAGTGGCTATGAAAATTTCAGTGGTATTTTTCACAGAACTAGAACAAGTAATTCTGGAATTTGTATGGAACCACAGAAGATCCTGAATAGCCAAAGCAATCTTGAGAAAGAACAAAGCTGGAGGTATCACACGCCCTGATTTCAAACTATACTATAGAGCTATAGTAAATCAAAACTCTATGGCACTAGCATAAAAACAGACACACGGATCAGTGGAATGGAGTAGAATAGGTAAACCCATGCATGTATGGTCAGTTAATTTACAGTAAAAGAGGCAAGAATATACAATGGGGAAGGACAGTCTCTTCAATACTGGGATGTTGGGGAAACTGGATAGCTACCTCTAAAAGAATGAAACTGAACCACTATCTTACACCATATAGAAAAATTAACTAAAAATGGATTAAAAACTTGAAGGTAAGACTTGAAACAATAAAACTCATAGAAGAAAACATAGGCAGTAAGCTTCTTGACATAGGTCCTAGTGATGTTTTTTGGATCTGACTCCAAAGGCAAGGGAAATAAAAGGAAAAATAAACAAATGGGGCCACACCAAATTTAAAAGTTTTTCACAGTGAAAAAAATTATCAGCAAAATGAAAAAGCCACCTACTGAATGAAAAACCTTTGCCATCAGATGAGTGCTAGCACCTGCCATGAAATCAGCTGTAACTTGTGAATGATGGATTAATGAATCATGACTGATAATTTTTTTCATAAAGTTTTTCATAACTGTATCTCTGTATCACTTTTTTCCCCTCAAGCTGTTTTGAATTTCAGTTGCTTTAAAATAATCACAACTCTCCTCCTTTCTGAAAAATAAATTTGCCTAAAATCTGGTGTCAGTACTGAAAGAATTTTAATGTGGCCTAGTATTTCTGTTTTATTGGAGTTTTGTTTTTGTATTTTTTTTGTTTTCCCCACTGTGGGTATATGCCTAAATTTTTGGTCCTACTCAGACCCTTTTTCAGGAGTAGTTGAAATCTAAGAAAGATAAGGAAATTTTATTAAGAGCTTGTTGATCTGTCAAAAGTTTACAACATTATCTTAGGCCTCCTAAACTTTACTTAAATGACAATACATGATGAAAATATACACAACTTTAATTAAATTTTCTTTTGAGGAGAGAATGTTTGCAATAGTTGGAAGTACTGGATAAGGGAAGTACTGGATAAGGGACGCACAAACAGCTGAGAACAAGGAAGGAAGCAGATCATTTGAGTGGCCAAAATGGAGGTCCCAAAATTATGCATTAAAGTTAATGTGGTTTAGTCATAGGGTATGTAATTACACTTTTGTCACAATCTAATAAACTTATTTTTTATTAGGGCTGTCAAGGGAGGAACTGTGAAGAGGCAGCCATGTCAACAACTTGACATGAAAGGAGGAAACAGAAAAACTGAAAAACAGACATAAACTGAAGAGTAATGCCAATTTGAGCTCATTTAGTTTAAGATGAAATAGCAACGTAAACATTTTGTGCCTGATATTTTTATGTGCCGAATAGAGACTTATGCTGTTTGGCTAACTTCTCTTATAAATCCAGCAGTCACTGTTCATAAAGTTGTCTCAGTCACTAATTTTCAAACTGCTATACTTACTATGGTGGGAAAATATACACTTGTGTCCTCTTTATAAAAATAACTACACGAAAAGTTTTAGTTGGGTTGATAAACTTCATTTAGCCTGAAAAATTCACTTGCATGAAACGTTTTCTCCATGGAGGATGATGAATAAGTGGGCAATTTGTAATTAAATCAGCAAAGCTCTTGAAACTCTAATAAAAATAAATTTATTCTTTAAGCAGTTTGGGAAGGCAACTACTATACCCTAATTTCAGTTCATCATCTGCTCAGTATTTTCTAAACAGACCTATTGTTGACTGTTAGCCTCTAGCCGTTTTATGCTTTTTCTTCTTCAGTTTTGAGAGGAAGTTTCACTTAATTTTGTGGTTTGTGGTATGAAATTTAAATTCTGCCTCCAAGTGCCATGTGTTTGTGTGGTTTTTAGTTCTTAACTGAAACTTTGAGGTCCGTTGTAGTATTTACACTTCTGAACTCCATCCCCCCGTCCTGCTCCCCCCGGAATAAAACCACCTACTTTGAGCATGGACTTTCAGAAGTGTTCAGGGGTATTTATTTGAACTAGGATTGAGAATAGGAATTAAGCAGTCATATTTTATTCCTTAAAAGTTAATAAACAAGATTAAAGACTTGATACAGCTTTGAGGGGAATCTTCACATAGCTTGACATTATAGAAAAGGCTGATGAAGCATCTCTGGGTCCTGGGTTTTTGTTTTTTCTTTTTTAATCTGACAACTCATATCAAAAGTATTCTACTATATTCTGTTACTGTGCAATCAATTTTAATTTAAAAAGACAGAAAATACTATCACGCAAGGGAAGAAATTTCAGTGGCTTCTTTCTGTTCACCCCCTTATTTTTATTTGGAAGCCTGGAATGATAGGAATTGCTGAGTTTGGCCTGTAGCAGTGAAGTGGCAATGGATAGGTCTCAGATGCTCAAAATTATTTTCTATATTTTTTGCAAATTAGAGATTCATTTAGGATACCAAGCTTCTTTTTTAAAAAAAAATCCGTAGATTAAATAAGATATTCCCTAACATAAGTTGCTTTAATCAGACTATATAAAAATCTAATAACAAGAAATCGGCTATATAGAATATAGAATATTTTAGTGGATACTGTGGTTGGAGAGAGATTAGCAATAGGCCCCACTTAAGTATCTCAGGGGTTTTTAAGTGTGAAAGGAGTACTGGGAGGAACCTAAGATGACTTTGTGTATTTAATTACTCAAACACATAGTACTTTGTCCAAAGTAGATGCTAAGCTAGAAACCTGAACAAAGCAGTGAAACATGTTAGTAGTTAACTTCCTTGATATTTTGAAAGAGTAATGAATAATTTTATTATTTCCAGAGGCAAGTGTGAATATCTCATTGTTTTGATTTGTGTTTCTCTAAGTCAGCAATGTTGAGCATCTTTTCATGTGCCTGTTAGCCATGTGTGTATCTTCTTTGGCAAAATATCTATCAGATCTTTTGCTCATTTTTAGATTTGGTTGTTCGTCTTTTTAATTTATCCAAATTCTTTTTTTTTCCAACTTAAAAAATATTTAAATAGCCCTATTAATCATTATTTTGCTTTTTGCTTCTTTTTTCAAATTCAAAATAGGAACTGACAACGTCTCAGAAGAGTGGTGGAAATGTTCTTCAGATGATGTATGAGAAACCTGAACGATGGTCTTTTACCTTCCAATCATATGCCTGCCTCAGTCGAATCCGAGCACAGCTTGCTGCTCTCAATGGCAAGCTCAAAGATGCGGAGGAACCTGTGTTATTTTTTGAACGATCTGTGTATAGTGACAGGTATATATAAATGATAGTACTTGTCAGTTTACAATATTGGCTTAGAACTGGACTTTTTTCCCCCTGTTTCCTGGGAATCAAAGTAATAAGAGAGGCTGAGTTGGAGATTTGAGTTGGAAGATGGCATTTTAATACCTTCAGCAGTTTGGAACCAGTGGCTTTAGGGAAGTTCTACATAATTGCTAGCTGCTATGGAAACTGCGGTGGAATGTGGTGGTCATCTCATCTCATTCAAATTTGCAAAGAATTTTTTTCCTCCAACTCTCTTAAAGTTCTTATCTGCTCTGGTTAAATCTGGATCTGTATTCTAGACTTGTACCTGGAGCAAGGAGATCATATATCTCTAAGGAGGGCTTGGAATTACCTGCTTATTTTGTGAGGGTTCTTTTACTAGCTTAAAATTGAGGTTCTCAAACTTCAGGACCCCTTTCCATTCTTACCAGTTATTAAGGAGCCCAAAGAGCTGTGTGTCTTAGAGATATTTATGTTAGTAGAAATTAAGATTGACAAATATAAAAAATTATTACTGTACTTTAAGTTAGAAATAATCAATCTATTATATATCAACATAAATAACATACTTGTGAAAATTAAATTTTTCAAAACAAAAAATTAGAAAAGTAGCATTTTTTACATTTTTGCAAATCTCTTTCGTGTCTGACTTAATAGAAGTCAACTGGATGCTCATTTGTGCTTCTATTTTTAAGCTGTTGTAATATGTTCTTTTCATTGAAGTATAGCATATAAATTAATCTGGCCTCACAAAACCCCCAGAAGGATCTTGGACTACCAATGGTTCTCATACCATATTTTTGGGAACCGCTGACCAAGGCCATATATTCTATGGTTGGAGATACTCTTGTTATTTTTTTTTCTGTTGTTATTTTTTTTTCTGCTAACGAAAGCATTATCTGCCTTGGGTTTTAGGAGAATGTTTCATGTCTATTAGAAATTGGATCTAATTTCTCTTTTCTTTGTGCTTTTTGGAAAGAATTTATGAGTTGACATAGACTCTCTTTCAGGTATATTTTTGCATCTAATTTGTATGAATCTGACTGCATGAATGAAACAGAGTGGACCATTTATCAAGACTGGCATGACTGGATGAATAACCAGTTTGGCCAAAGCCTTGAACTGGATGGAATCATTTATCTTCGAGCCACTCCAGAGGTGAGTAAAAATCTGTTTGCTCCATTGACATTTCAAAGTAATATTTAGAAATCTTTTCAATGGTATGCAGTGAAGGCAGTTCAGTTAACTTCACTCTCCACCTCCAAATTAGAAACTCATAACTGTGTAGATAGGAGCATTCTATTTTCTCAGCAAACTGTAAACCCAGATTTGGAAGTTGCTCTTGTAGGCGCTTTCTCTGGTCTTCCTCAGTTCCATTCTTCATTATTTGTTCCTAACTATTGCTTATCTATCATAGCTAGATTAAGAAACTTGCCCAAGCAACTCTTACAATGTAGGCTTCATGAGGTGGGACTTTGGGTATTTTAATTACTGTTGAATTTCCAGTGCCTAGAACAGGGCCTGAGTACATAGTAGGAGCTCAATTAAATATTTGCTGAATCAGTGGCAAAGTTGATAGAGGTTCATTTCAAGAAATCTTTTATGATTATTTGTGGCTTGGAATGTGGCTTGAAATGGGTAGGTGGTAGCAGCTGCAGTTGAGAAGAGACCTAGAAGACCATTGTCAAGTTGGAAGTGTGCCTTTCATGATAGGCTGTAAATAGCTATTCTTGTTTACATATGAAATTATGTAATGATTCCAGGAAGACCAAGTACATAGATGCCTTTCATAAAATTAACCTAAGAGCTTACATTTGTTAAGAAATTTCTGGTTTTGCTGCTTGCATCCCCATTTTTCTCTTGTTTTTTATTCCTGGTTTTTCCCTAAGTCACAAAGTAGGCTCTGATGTACATGTTGCTATTGAAGCTGAATTTTCAAAGAAACTAGGTTTGTAATGATTTTGTTCCTCTTCTAATATCAAGTAAGCTAGAATTTAACAACAACAATTTTGAAATCCACTTTTATTTTTGAAAAGAATTTTTCGTTTTTATTATGAATTATAGATGAATATGAAGAATACAAATAATTTCATTATCTAGAAACATTCATAGTCAATATCTTAATGTGTAAAACAAAATTTTATTTCATCAATATTGTTTATGATATCATTTGATTAGAGGATCATTTAAATTTGAAAAGAGGGGATTTATAATAGACTTTGAAGCACAGTTTGTATACTGAACTTTTTAATTTTTTGTTTTTTAAACAAACTTATTTTATGCAGTATATTTCAAGTATGGATGTCAAAAGTTTATAGACATATTTTGACTTATTTTTGAGAGTACTACTTGGTTTAGAGCCACCAGGTGGTTGAAAAGTATAGGGAGGGAAAAAATGAACTATTCCACCTTTCTAGTAGAAATAAATAGAGATTTTGGCTGGCACAACTAAAGAGACACTGAAGGAAAAAAATTTAATGACAGCTGACAAGAATAAGTGTTCCTTGCCTCCCTCACTCCTCCTATCCCTTACTGCTTGCTTTTAGAAATGCTTGAATAGAATATATTTACGGGGAAGAAGTGAAGAACAAGGTATTCCACTTGAATACTTACAGAAGCTTCACTGTAAGCATGAAAGCTGGCTCCTGCATAGAACACTAAAGTAAGGTTTCCATATTCTTATTTACTCTTCATTTTTAATACCTTTATCAAACATTAATCCAAACAAGTACAGTTTTTCCTTTTCAGCCATTTTTATTTATTAGTTTTGTAGGATCTCCCAGAATTAAGTGGATTTTTTTTTCACGGGGGAGGTAATTAGGTATTTATTTATTTATTTAAATGGAGGTACTGGGGATTGAACCCAGGACCTTGTGCATGCCAAGCATGCACTTTACCACTGAGCTATACCCGCCCCACTAGGTGTGGATTTTGATTCTTTTTATTTTCTTAAAGTCTTTGTAGCTGATCTCCCCCAGTGATATTTGCGACATAATATATGGAATTTCACATTAAGTGATAAAGTAGGAAATATATCTATATACATTATTTAAGTACAAGCATACCTCATTGTATTGCACTTTGCTTTATTGCACTTTGTGGATATTGTACTTTTTACGGATGGAAGGTTTTTGGTAACCCTGTTCAAGCAAGTCTCCCGGAACCATTTTTCCAATAGCATTTGCTAATTCTGTGTTTCTGTGTCACATTTTGTAAATTCTTGCAATGTTTCAAACCCTCTGCCAGCAAAAAGATTACAACTTTCCAAAGGGTCAGATGATGGTTAGCATTTTTTAGCAATAAAGTATTTTTTAATTAAGGTATCTACTTTTTCTTAGACATAATGCTATTGCACACTTAATAGGCTGCATTATAGTGTAAATGTAACTTTTATGCTCACTGGGAAACCTTTTGATTTGTGTGACTTCTTTTGTTGTGATATTCACTTTATTGCAGTGGTCTGGACCCAGATCTGCAGTATCTCCTAGATATGCCTCTACTCTTTTTTTTTTTTTCTTTTTTGATGGGGGAGGTATTAGGTATTACTTATTTATATTTCAGAGGAGGCACTGGGGATTGAATCCAGGATCTTGAACATGCTAGGCATGCACTCTACCACTTGAGCTATACCCTCCCCCATGCCTCTACTCTTGTTCATAGAGAATTTTAAGATATTTCAAATTTGTTTCTTAGATCACCGTACTTTGTCATTAATCAGATCTTAGTTCAAATCCATCTCGCATTTTAATGTGCAACCTTAGGCAATTTGTGAGCCTCAGAGTGACCTCCCTGAGATTCAGTTTTCTCATCTTTAAAAAAAAAATTCCTACAACATTGTAAAATGACTATAAATCAATAAAAAATGTTAAACAAAATTCCTACTTTATGGTATGATTTTGGTCTTTAAGGAGAATTACATTTCACAGTGCCTAGCTTTATATAATTTTATACCTGAGGTTTTTGGATATGTATAGTAAATGTAGGTGAGAAAAAAGTGACTACCAGATGAAGTACTTGCAGGATAACTTTAATATAAAATGATTGATAACATTTTGATTTTCTAATGATGACATAAGAATAAACTTTTAGTGTTTCTCTTTTATTTACTGCCTTTTCTAATTATTTTGTTCATCTCTCTTTAAATAGAACCAACTTTGATTATCTACAAGAAGTGCCTATCTTAACACTGGATGTTAATGAAGACTTTAAAGACAAACATGACATTCTGGTTGAAAAGGTAGATTTATACAAAGACTATAAAATAACATTTGTTTTATCTTGTCTAAAGAAGTGTTCTAACTTGTGAGAAAACAATTTTATAACAAAAGATTACATAGAGTTACAGTAAGAGACAGTTAAGAGCTTTAGAGGGATTTAGACTGTTTAGATTCTCATCCTAACTTCAAATTCTAGCTTTGTAACACTACCTAAAATAAAGAACTTCTTTATCCTTGAGTTTCTTTATCTGTAACACAGAGTTAATTAACCACATTGACAAAAGTTCTTGCTCACCCTCTTCTCTGCTTTGTTCTCTTTTCTTCCCCTCTTCCCTATACCACCAATCTTTAGATATTTTAATAATAAACTGTGAAATTAATCTTTTTCTACTAAATTCAGTATAGAAGATGTTTGAAATTATAGGATATAGATCTTATTCATTTTTATATTTAGCTTAAGTCTTGAGATTAAAGACTTTTAGGTTTGAGTTTTATTGGGGACCTTCTCGATGGTGAATTGGCATTGTCTAATCATTGAGTCATTGTCTTAATCAGAGTTAATTTATCCTCTTGATATTTGGGAGTTGACCATATTCTGTTGGGTGAAAGATGCTCATATTGATAAAGGGGCTGAGAGGGAACCTACTGATGAACACCTGAGAGACAATAGTAATGGGAATTGTGTAACAAATGTCCCTGTATCCATGTTAATTAACTTAGTGATCTAAGCTCTAAAGAAGAAGCCACATTTTTTGTTTGTTCAGTTTTGAGAGAAACTTGATTTTTCTTTTTGCTTGTCACAAAACATCTGTTGTTTACTGTAATAGATATTTAACATTCATAAGGGATAGATATCAGGAATTTTGAAAATTTCAGCATATGGATAACTACTATAGCATATCATTATGTTCCCCATGATACAAAGAAAAGCATATCTGGAAAATTCAAGTGACTTCTTCATACTAATTAATGATAAAAATATAGGATAGAATTCACTTGTGATACTGTTAAAATAAATTAAAAAAGTAAGTCAGCCATGGCAGTACTAACAGCCAACCATCATTTTAACTGAATGAATCTGTAAAACCACTTTTTAATTTTATCTAACACTTCTGTGTTTTGATTAATAATCATTTTATGTTATTATTTATTTTTACTTTCATTAATAATGCTAAAAGTTGGCCTTCTTTTTCAGGTATTTTTACAAGGCAATAATCTTTGTCTATTCAGGAGAATTACTGTGTAGTCTAGAATATGTAGAGAATAGTGTATCTTTTGCAGGGGCTAGGTAATTAAGTTATTTATTTATTTATTTACTTACTTACTTACTTACTTATTTACTTACTTGCTTTAATGGAGGTACTGGGGATTGAACCCAGGACCTTGGGCATGCTCTACCCAAGCTATACCATACCACTGAGCTATACCATACCACTCCCCTGACAATAGTATCTTGTTTTGTGATGTTGATCAGTTGGCTAAGTTCATTCACTGCTTATGACCTTTCCTCACACATTAATATTACAACATGTATATATGATTCAGATCTGTGCTTCAGAAAAATTATAAATCTATTATATAGATTACATACATAATCAGGACCTTTGGAGTTATTTAACTCATTGCAGATATTAATGTTATCAATGCTAAAGCTGTACATGTCTGTGGCCTCTAATATAAAGAGATAACAAAATTAGTGTTATGGCTGTTTAGAACTGTATCAATCTTAGATGTAAATTTAATAACTCCTGTAGTGGCATTTTAGGTTAGTCATCTTTTACTATTGAAATATTTGTTAATATTTCCTTTGAAAGTAAATGCTCTGGCTTTGTGATAGAGTTAACTTATAAAAGTGTGATTCTTCAGCTGTTAGATACTTTTAAAAGAAGATGAATATTAGATATCTCAAATTAGCCAATGAATTAAATTAACATTTTTTCCTCTCCTCAGGTAAAAGAATTTTTGAGCACTCTGTGATCTTGCTGAAGACTACAGGCAGCCAAATGATTCCAGATACTTCAGCTTTGTGTATCTTCATAGCTCTGTATTTACACAGCTCTCTCTAGAAAACCCAAGTTTTTAACTGTTTTTGTTAAAAAAGAAAAATTTTTTTTGATGACTTCAATACAAAACTTTATAACCAATTTCTTTTTTTTTTTTCTTTTTTGCGGGTTTGAAAAAACAAAGACATTTAATTATTCTTTACAACAGGAAGTCTGGAGGTAAATGGTTCCAGAATCACTATAGTAGCTAAGCAACATTATGAAAGACCCAGCCGCCTTCTGTCTTTCCCCTCTGTTCTCCTCCTCAGCGGGTTGACGTTTTATTCCTGGTGCTTCTGGTCTCGCTGACCAGTTTCTTAATTGCAGACTTTAATGTTACATAGTAAATGGTAATGTGTCCTGTGTAAATTAGTACACCTATTAAAAATTGAAAAGTGGAATTTAAGGAATCCTTAGAAAAAGGATTATGAAGTTTTATTTTAAATACTTTTGATCAGGTGCCTTCCCTTCCACTGTAGTTTATGTGGAAGATAAGACCACGTTTAGTATTTAATCACTTCATTGATAGTTATTAATATAACATATTTGTAGAGGAGGTTAGACTTTGTTCCCAGTTTTTAATGGCATCACTTATAAGTCATTTAATCTTTTTCCTGCCTTTGTTTCTACATCTGTGGTGTGGGTGAGACTTCATCTTTTTGCATGGGATTTTGGAGGGTTAAAGTAGAAATGTTTCTATACTTAAAAGATAACTGAAGATTATTACATGAGCATAGAGATTCAGTTTCTTTGGAACTTAGCTACTTGCTTTTTCCCTTCTCAGACCATTCTTTTGGAAACAGTATTTAAAAGGTTGATTTAAGCTATGATTGCCTTTAAATCATTTGAGGTGGAAGTATAGTTTTCCCTGAATTTCTTCCCATTTTTATAGGCAAAATGTTAATAGGAAATAGTGAGGGATTAGTTTTTCCGTGTTATTCTTTATTGACCCTCTACTGGGAATAAGTAGTCTTTCTTCACCTTTACACTTGGTAAGAAGTCAAAAGGGAAACTGAAGACAGTATCTTCTTAGCAATTGAGTCTGTTTAGTTAGAACTAACTCCTGCTTCCTGCCTTATCCTACTTTCCCGACTGTCTGGAGTAGTTAGGCAACCTGCTATTTTAAAGTTTTATTTACAAGTAAGTAAAAGTCACACATTTCTACTTCGAAAACATCATAATCACTCTTCAGTTCATAGTTTGCTTGCTTCTCTGTTGTGTTATACCATCAGTTTTCCCCTTCTAAGAGAAATTACTGATAAAAATGATCTTGCTTTATGTTACACATCTTGAAAGCAAAATCATTTTTTGTTGATTATATATTAGAGAATACACATGTTAATAAAGAAGACAAGGGGTATAATGGTTGTAATTTTTAAAAATGTGTGGATTCATTTCAAGTATGTATATATAGATTTAGGTATGTAAGTATAGATTTTTTTCAACTTTATTTAGTAAAAATGTGCAGTGTGTTTGTATTTAACCTTTCTGCTTGACATTTTAGAAAAATTCTATGGTTTTGAAATGAGAGGAAGAGTTACTTTTACTTTGAAACTATAATTTTCCTTTTTAAAATGTCATCTTTTGTTTTTGATTTCTTAACATTCAAAGATGATGATTTATTGAATTACACAGTCTAGATGCACTCATCTTTGAGAGAGAGACTTGGTTTCAAATCTGTAATTGCCATGAATATTTGAATTGTCTCATGATATTGTATGGGTTTGTTTTTGTTTGACATATATGGGTTTGTTTGCTAAATTAAATATTTGCTTAATAAATAAGTATAAATCATATGAACTCTAATGGAGCTACACTCATTGAAATGATTGTATCTTTTTTAGAAATAAAATTTATTCTACTTTTGAAGAAAATTATGACTATAAAAATGTTGACAATGGTTTATATAAATTGACATTGGTTTTATTTTAAGTGGAGACATATTTCAGAGATTTTTCTATAAACTTTAAAAATGGTTAGCTTAATGACTTTTTAAATCTGTAGAATTGAAAAGCTAAAAAATGTATTATTTGTCATAACTCAAAATAAAAGCTATACCACTTTTATTTTGGGCATAAAGGTATTGAGCCAGGTGGTGCGCATTATCTTTTGGATCCTGTCTCCCATATCAGATCATCTCGCATCAAAGTATATGTTCTACTTTTTATAGTTTACTCTTCTAAAAGGTAATTAGTTGTACAAGGCTTATACCCTCATTCAGAGTTTTCTCATCTTCTATGCCCAAAACTTAGAGCACTGTTTACCAAGCCCCTAGGTCTTGGTAAATTAGGTCTGTGATATTTTAAAGGACAAGGAGTCCCAAAGTGTTTTTCACATAAAGGTGTAAATCTCATTATCTCCAGAAAAATGCTAGAAAAGTTTCTTAAGGGTTTTACAAATCCTGGTAGGTAATAGCCTTCCTCATTTGAAAAATGTTATTATTTAAAAAAAATTTTTTTTTGGAAATAATTTTAGACTCACAAAAAGTTACAAAATTATTAGAGTTTCTGTGTACCCCCATGATAACATTTTACTTAACTATGGTATATTATCATGTCTAGGAAATTGACTTTGGTACACTGCTATTAATTAAACTACAGAACTTATTTTTAATAGGGCTTTTTTTTTTTCATAGAAATTTTAGGTTCACAACAAAGCTGAGTGGAAAGTACAGAATTCCCATGTACTTTCAGCCCCAGCACTTGCACAGCCTCCTCCAATGATCAGCATCCCTGACCAGAGTGGTACATTCGTTGTATTCAGTGAACATATATTGACACATCATTATCACTCAAAGTCCATAGTTTGCATTAGGATTTACTCAGTGTTGTATCTTCTATGGGTTTTGAGAAATGAATAATGACATGTCACCACCATTATAGTTTAACTGCCCTGAAAATCCTCTGTGTTCTGTTCATCCCTCCCTTCCCCCTAATCTCTGCCAATCACTAATCTTTTTATTGTCTCCATAGTTTCTCTTTTCCAAGGATGTCATAGAGTTGGAATCATTCAGTAGGGAGCTCTTTCAGTGGCTTCTTTTACTTAGCAACTTGCATTTAATTTCCTCCATGTCTTCGTGGCTTGGTAATCATGTCTCTTTAGCACTGAAAGAATATTCTGTTGTCTGGTTATACCACAGTTTATCCATTTACCTACTGAGGGACATCTTGGTTGCTTCCAAGTTTTGGCAATTATGAATAAAGCTACTATAAACAACTGTGTACAGGTTTTTGTATGGATATAAGTTTTCAGTTCATTTGTATAACTACTAAGGAGCGGAAATGCTGGATCATATGTTAAGAGTATGTTTAGGTTTCTGAGAAATTGCCAAATTGTCTACCAAAGTGGTTGTATCATTTTGCCTTTCTGCCAATAAGAGTTCCTGTTGCTCCACATCCTTACCAGCATTTGTTGTCAGTGGTCTGGATTTTAGCCGTTCTAATAGGTATGTGGTTGTATCTTCTTTGAATTTGTAATTCCCTAAAGACATATGATGTTAACTATATTTTCCTACGCTTACTTGCCATCTGTGTATCTTCTTTAGTGAGGTATCCATTAAGGTCTCTTGCCTGTTTTTCAATTGGGTTCATTTTCTTAATACTGAATCTTAAGAGTTCTTTGTACGTTTTGGGTACTAGTCCTTTATTAAATGTGTCTTTGCAAATATTTTTTCTATCTGTGGTTGTCATATTCTCTTGATACTGTCTTTTGTAAAGCAGATGTTTAAATTATAATAACATCGAGCTTATCAGTTATTTCTTTCATGGATCATAGCTTGTGTTGTATCTAAAACATTACATACCTAAGGTCATCTAGGTTTTCTCCTGTTATCCTCTAGGAGTTTTACAATTATGTGTTTTATGTTTAGATTTATGATCCATTTTTAGTTAATTTTTATGAAGGATGTAAGGATTGCATCTGGATTCATTTTTTTTGCACAAAGAGATCCAGTTGTTCCAGCACCATTTGTTGAAAGACTATCTTTGCTTAATTGAATTGCCTTTGCTTCTTTGTTGGAGATCAGTTGACTATAATTATGTGGGTCTATTTCTAGGCTCTCTATTTTGTTTTATTGATCTATTTGTCTATTCTTTTGCCAGTGCCACAGTCTTGATTACTGTAGCTCCATATTAAGTCTTAAAGTTGAGTAATTTTGCATTTCCTAGAAGCATGAGCTACTTAGGTTTAATAATATTTTGGGTGCTTTCTGAAGCTATCCTAATAAGATTTTTCTTTAAATAATTTATTTGTATAATAAAGTCATTTTTTCTCATCTTCAGTTAGATAGTTGAATATTGAAAATGAAGGCACATTTGATATAATTCATTTTTTTCCTTATTCTGTGCAGTTCCTTGGAATGTTGTCATTAATTATAAAATGTATTAGTACTGAGATTAGTAATGCCAAAAATGTTTAAATACAGTCTTCACTTGTAAGAGCTGTTCAGTTAATAACTTTCTATCATAATATCTCTTAAATGATTATATCATTTTCCAGACAATCACCTGTTTTTCTCCTTGGATATAAAGGCTCTTCCCACTTCAAAATACACTAAACAAGTTTGCAACCAAGAACGATATTTAAACATTGTCATCTCAGACAAAAACAATAATTTACTTGACACTTCCTACACAGAGATTATCATTTTGAAGACATTTGAATTGTGTATCCTGCTATTTTGCTTTGATTAAGTATGTCAAATGAGAGGATGAAAAGGTTAAATCTTCTAGGACTCTGGTCTGTTATGTGCAGATGCCATTTTCATGTGTTCTAAAGTTGCCTAAAGGTGTTTTCGTGTGTTATAACTTAATTTTAAGTAGAGTTTGAATGCATTAGTTCCCAAAAGGATGGAAAATTGGTGGGGGGAAATGGTGCAGAAAGCAGAATTTACCTTCCAAAGAATGATTTCTTTATTTCACCCCACCATCACCAACTATCAAGTTTTCTTCCTGGGCAAGTACAATAAACCTTGTTTAGAATATATTTTATGCACAGTCTATCTTGTGTGTTACTTATAAACTTCTATTATTCAGTTGGTACTTTTTTTGTATCCTAGAGTATAATATAATGTGCCCTATTAAAATGAATGGAAAAATTTTATTTAAAGCTTTTTACTTAGTGACAGTGCTTTCAGGAATAAAAGACATTAATTGAGGGATAGGTATGTAATTTGAATCTGATTCAGTTTTACCTACTCCCTTTCCCCTAGCTTTTTAACGATTATTGTGACTACAGCTCTGTAATTGTATGTTTAATGAGGTATAAATTCTTAGTATGATATTGATATTCTCAGAATATTTTCTATCATTGAAGATTTGGATTTGGTTCAAAGATTTCACAAAATATTAACACCAAGTTCTGGTTTGGCAGATTTTGAATTGATAAAGTGTTTCTTTTAAGAATTAAGACTATCCTCAAAAAAGATTACTAGCAATATGGCTACTCTTTGAATTTGTTTAATTTTAGTTCTAGGTGTGGAATAAAATAAGTACTATACCAATCAGTATCCATTGCACTAGAATAAAAGGTGATAATTAGAAGTCAGAGTAGGTAACAGTATTTTAGTTTTTGGTATAGTTTTATAATGAGCTTAAAAACGTTTTAGATATAGAATAGTAAGTACCATAAATAGAATAAAAGTACACATAAATACTAGATATTAAAATCCTTTCATAACTATTTTAACCTTGGAGTCTGTTGTAGACAGAATTTATTACCATTTTACTGATGTGAGAACCTAAGGGATTTCTCAAGATTCCACAAAAAATTAAAGCTGAAACAAGAACCCAAATATTACGACTTTCTAGTGAGGGGGTTCATTTTGTTTTAGTTTGTTTCATTTTTACCTCTGCTCTTTATATCTAAGGTCATTTTTCTCTTCTTCCCTAACTGGGCAGTATTTAATCCCCATTTAAAGTAGCAATTTGAAAATAAAAATCTAATAATGAAAGTAGTTCAAGTCCATGATGATTTCATACTTAAATCAGTAGTTGTAGTCCTTTGCCACATGAGGTCATTATATACTTGGTTCTCTGCTTTGCTCTGGCTATAATCCAGGCATCATTATCTTGATGGTGAGTGGCTAAGAAGGATAAGAGCTGATGAGAGGTCTTTTGCACTGCCAGAGCAAAAGCATTAATAGATTAATAAAAACTTTATTGAGTGAGATTGTATGTATACAGATGTGGGGGGAAGAAGAAAATGAGCTGTTGGATTAAATATAGGCAATCAGAAAGGCAGTGTTTTTAGAATTCTCTTACTTAAAGAAAGTCTGGTACACAACTCCCAGCTGCTTCACTAAGTATTAGATTGAATATTACCAATCGTTGGGGTTTTTTATGGGATGGTACTCGGTTAGATAATTATGCCTAACAGGTTGCCAGGAAATTTAATTTTCTAATGTTCACTCTTTAGACTTTGTATTAGCTATTTTGCAAAACTGTTTGCCATTTACTTAGCAATTATGTATACAAAGAAACTTACAGTTATTATTACTACTCTATGAAACTACATGGAGCTCAGATGATTATTTTTCCAAGAAGAAAGTTTTGCTTAACAAAACCGTGATCTAAAAAGTGATTCAGTAACAGAGGTAGGTGAAACCTGTTCTTCGATTGACGCATCTTCCGAAACATATCACCTTTTCATGTCACTTGACGTCACTTCACAATGGTGGTGGTGATGCTGGTGTTTTGGTGATATACGTGTGTGTGTGTGCACTGTTGTTACTGTTATCCTTTGTTTAAACTAATAATATTCAGTCAAAGGTGAAGCATCTCCTAAAGCTACTGTTTTGTTCTTGCTGTTACTGTCAGCTGGAGTGGACTCCCTTTATGTTAGAAGAGTAAATTAGGAAATTGGCTAATGTTATGAAACAATTTATGCTTCTCTTGGCTCAGCAACACGACTTTGGTATGTTATACTGTGCTTAAAATACTAGCTGTTAAACCACTGGCTTGGGGATAGCGTGGACAGTATGGCTGTAAGTTACTGTTGTGTTGGTGGTTGACAAGAAATGGTTGCTAGATTAGTAAGTGAATGAAACCTGTTAACTAACTTTTAACAGATTGACCTTAAACAGGCAATTGAATATTGCCCTCTTCAGAATGGTTATCTTGAAAGACTATACTTATTCCAAAGATTCTGCCATTATTCAAAACACGTGTACCCTTGGACCCGAGTTTAGAGTCTGAGTCATATATTTTTCCAATGTTGAGTCAAGTTCTTTTTTTGTGCCTGACTGGATATAGTTTTTTATTTTTTTTAATGACAGTAAATCATTTAGTGACAATTCTTAAGAACAAAATGGGTAGTAAAAGTTGAAAAGAGCTGCTTTTGGCCATAAAAAAAGGTAACAATAGGCACTTAGATCCATTTTTTTTGTTCAGCTTATGAAATATATGTGAGGGAAATTCATATTTTTTTTTACTAATTCAAGTGTTTTTGACTGATGGCAGACTCTAAACTGAACATATAACCTCTTGGTATGGTTACTTTGAATGCACTACTTCGTGTAGAAGGTTCTGGTGTAGTTAAAACATACCCAGACATTGTATCCTATTATGTTTACATCAGCCAGTTGTTAAGTAAGAATTTATCTTTAGTGGTTTAACATCACAGAGGCAATACTGATTAAGAACACAGGCTCATAAGACAGACATCTGGCTTCAAATCCTAGCCCTGCCACTTATTGTCTAACTTTAGGCAAGTGATTATAATCTTGGGCAAGTAATACTTGTTAATTTCTTTGTAAGAGTGCTAGATGTAATACTACCTACATAGAAAGTTGCGCAGTTTTAAAGTGTAGTATATATAAAGCATTTAGAACAGTGCTCAATACATGTTTGCCATTACTATTAGTACTTTTATTTCCTTTCATTCAATATCTTAGTTGCTGAAAGCATCTGGAAAACTGTTAAGTTTGTGCAGTTATTTAAAGAAGAATGAGTGAAGTGAAACTACAGTAGGATATTCACTGTATTTTTTAAGTGGAAATAGTTATGGTATGTATCTCCCACTTCTTCCTCCCTGGTGCATGTATGTGTGGAGACAGATTCACCATACTTCACTGTGGTTACCTCTGGTGACTGGGACTGGAGTGATGGTTGAGATTCTTGGGAGAAGGTCTTTGGCATAAAATTTTAAATTAGGCAATTCATTTACTATTAAATTTATTCATTCAGCAAATATTTATTGACTTCCTACTGCATTCCAGGGACTGATGAAGGAACATGTAAGTTGTTAGGAATTACTCTTCCCCTTGAGGGAGTTTGAAGCTACATAAAGAAGATTAGGTTGCTATCCAAGTTCTTAGCATTTTCTTTTATTTTTATTTTCTGTACTTTAATTTTTTTTTAGATATAGAACACTTCATGAATGTGCATGTCATCCTTGTGCAGGGGCCACGCTCATCTCTGTATCATTCCAGTTTTAGTATATGTGCTGCCGAAGCGAGCACTGTACTTTTATGTTTTGGGTGGTGCAGAATATAAACATTCTTGGTATCTCCACTGGTATTTCAGGAAATTATAATTTCTCATTTGTGACTAGAATCCTGCTAATTTTGAAATAAAGTAGCATTATTTTCAGATTATAAAAATAATAAATATTTGTTACGGAAAACTCATGAGAATTTGATGCTTGATACTTCTAACATCAAGAGACCTTCCTTCTCTTGGGAAGTAGATGAGATTAATTGGCCATGGTTTTTATCTATTGTTTTTAAGCAAGATGCATAAGGATCTTTGTACCCCTTCCTAGAAGATAGGTTGCAATGAAGAGACCTCTTAATGCCTATAAATTATCTTTGAAGTCTGTTTAGAAATTGCCTTGCTCCTTCTATTTGTGTTAAGGTTAGGAAGAAATCTATTATTCTATTCTTATTTGAGTAAAAGAATATTATTCCTAGTGTTAGGAATCTAGTATTTCTGCCCTGGGAAAGTGATAAGGGGCAGAATGCTCTGTTCCCCTCCACCCACACCCGAGCTGTTACCCAGATGTTCCTATGAGTGAATGGCTATAGGCTAGAGGCAAAACTCCTGTGTTGGTCCCGTAGTTGGTCGGAACCCCAGGATTATTCAGACATTAAAGAATGCTGTCTGTTTTTGGTGGAGTAGTGCAGGTAATTCCTAGGTAATACTGGGTATTATTTAATAGGGACCAAAAAGGAAGTGAATGAAACCCTTGACTGGTCTTGGTGTTCTGCAATTTCTATTTTATTGCAAACAAAGTAATCAAGGTAAAGGAGAGAGGGGAGGTATTTCTAATTTCATGGGTCCTAGAGCAATATTTAGTATAGAAAGTTAAACAATCTAGAAAATTATAAAGAAAAAAGTATAGTCTGCTAGAAATCCTACCTCATCCCTGCCCACCAGTTCACTGTATATAAATCCTCATAGGTTGCACGTATGCATAGACGTAGACCTAATTTCTACATTTGTGTACATTTGTAATCTTTAGAGGGCTTTTGTTTATATTCAGAAACCAAAATCCTGAATTCTACATTGAAAATATTACTGTAATAATACAGAGTTTTTTAGACTAAGATTGGATTATCAGCAAAATTTACTGACTTTTATGTTTAGTGAGAGATACTTGTACCCAACTTAATGGGCACAAGCTGAAAGTTCTATAAATTAGAATTTAGGTACATTAATGTTTTTCCAGTGATTTGTAATTTGAGATAATTTTTTTAAACTCCACTTGATTTCCAGTTAGCAGTGACAGTAAGCCTAAACATTTTTCTTTTATTTATAAAAGTACAACATGCCCATTAAAACAATTTGGAGATTGCAGAAATGTTAAAATAAGATAATCCCTGGATCCCATCATTCAGAGGTATCACTGTCCTAGCAGACTATATCGTCTTCCAGTTTTACGTACTTCCATCTATAAAGAAACATTTTTCTTTCACCAGACTGAGACCACATGATAGATTCAATGTTCTGTCCTGCTTTTTTTTTTCCCTTAAAGTATATTGTAAAAAATTTTCTTACATCTAAGTTATCTTTGAAAGTGCAGTTAAACTCATAATTTCTTGGCTCTTTAAAGTTTGAAATGTACAGAAATTAAGAGAAGAAAAAATATCTGTAATCATACCACTGAGAGATAACTAATTACACATTAGTATTTCCTGCTAAGCTGTGAGTTTCTTTGCTCCCACCTTCAAAGAGAGCTTAAATATCCATGGTAACTCCTTGTTTACTTTGTTAAATGATAATTTTGAAAAAATGAACTTCTTTAAAGAAGTTATCATTATATAGTGAATATGATTAGTAAATTCATATTTTCACATTTTGTGCAACTTTTGCATTTGTAAAGGACCTCTAATCCAAGAAAATTTATTGTAACATTTTCTCCATAAAACATTTTACATGCTTACAAATGTGTGTGAAACTTTAAAAGTTAAATCCTTAAATGCCATTTTATGTTGGAATCTTCAGGGAGAGTGTGTGTGTGATGAATGTGGAATTTGAAGACACTCTTTATCTGGATGGCCTTGGGCAAGCTTCAACTTCTGTGAGCCTCAGTCTTATTTTCCAAATTGTAATGCTAGGGCCTCTCCAAGGCACAGGCTTGTTGTAAGGTGCCAATAAAATCTGTGAACGGACCTCTTAAATTATACAACATATAAACGTTAATAGTTATTATTTAAGGAGCTCAGGAACGAAAAAATAAAAACAAAGGCAGTTCTTGATTCCATCAAGTTACAGTCAGATTTCCTTTCAGAATAAATGGAAATTGGATATGTGAACCTAGCTGTAAGAAATGCAGAATATAGTTTTGCCTTAAATTTCGCATCTTTCTTGTTAGCAAAACATACAAATTTTTCTAACTGACCACATGTCCAGATCTTAGGGCAAGAGAGAACATAATTCTTTCTGTACTGTTTTAATTTTGAACAAGCCATGTTTATGGTACCTAGCTCTTAGAAGAAAAAGAAAAAAAACAAGAGAGAAATGGTATATCTGCCCACCACCACCTGCTATTTTTAGATTGGCTAGGAAGCCCTATCTGGCTGCCTTTGCCCGTCTCATTTGGCAACTCTTGAGCCTGCACCATTCAGAGATAAAAGAAGCTTAGAAGGTGGAAAACTGAATTTCTTTGATTTTCCAGTCATCATTGCTGAAAAAGCATATCACCACAAGCAATTTGAAGGACGCTGGCTGTAAGTAAAGCAGTAAGTGTTTTCATTTAGTGAGATGGGCTTATGCAACACAAAATACACAATGTATTTCCACCTTTCTGCCTTAATAGGGGGTGAGGGAGGTATGCGCTTTCTGTCCTGATTTGATTTTTATTCATTATCAAGAGATAATAGTTTAGAAAAAGATGCAAATACTGTGCATACATATACATATACACAAAAATATGTATATGCTTATAAATTTTTATGGTCTTGTAGAATAAAATCCTTGGAAAAGAAAAGGAAACAATATGAATGTCAAGGAAAGAAGCATAGGAACAATCTGGGAAATGACTTTAAGATTAATGCAGTAAGATGAATTTGAAAGCTAACGAAATAGAAGATTAGTAGAGATATCTAATTTTCCATTTACTTGGATAAAGGGACATAATATTATACCCATGAATCAGTTTTAAATGAGCATACATTGGGGCATTTTGTAGATGATAAAACTCAACCTATTTTATCTGTCGTTTCTATAAAGTATTCTGAAACATTTCTATTGTTGAGTATAATAATTTATCAAAAGTTAAAGTCAGGTTATATATGTTATGTAGTTTTTCTTTTGTCTATATTATTATTTTATTAGCTTTCTACACTAACTTTCCTTTAATTGTCAAACTTTCCTTTAATTGTCAAATTATTATTATCCTGTAATTGAAGAATTTTATTAAATGAGTTACCAAATATTAAGTAAGTGCTCAATAAATGTTTATTATTATAGTTGTATTGGTATTTTTAATATGTGCACAAATTCTAATAGAACTATATTAGAAAATTTATTTAAAGCCTATCGTATTGCAAGCCATATTAATTATTTTACACAACTGCACATATTAGATGAAATTCACTTTCTCATTGCTATTCCAAAGCTGATATTTTTCTCCATCTCCAAAAGAGTTTGAGAAAAACTTATACTGTAAGCTTAGTCTTGGGTCTAGTAGTAATGTAAAATAATTTTGCCTACTTGAAAAAATTGTGGCTATATTGCTCCCTTTAAATTTCTGATTATGAAGTCAGAGAGATATTACAGAGAATCCATTTACAATGACTTAAATTCAAACATAATATTTTGTCTTACAGGCCTAACTTAACTTGTAAAGAAAGCTCGGAACATTTATAAAGAGCTTTATTATTTGCAAAGGACCTTCACATACTTTATCATTTAATCCTCACAATAACCTTGTGAGATAAATAGTACTCACTTTTATAGATGAGAAAACTGAGGCTTACAGAGGTCACAATTTGCATATGATAAAGCCAGTATTTCTGTAAGAGACTGGATCACTGGAAAGGATTCTGTAGAAATGATGCCTACACGGGAAGGAATCTTGTAAAAGATCCTTGGGATTCCTTTCAAATCCGTATTTCTGTGATTTCTGCAGTTTTAGGTGGGAGACAGTATGGTATGGTAGGAAGCACACGTGAAGAGGTAAATTTACTATATCCTGGCCATGGACAAGTAATTCAGCCCCTCTGAACCTCAATTCCTCATCTATAAAATAGGAACTCTTTAATAACTTGCAGTGTTATTGAAAGAATGAAATGAGATAATGTAGAAAAGAGCCAGGCACTTAACTGCTTGATGATAGAGCTATTGGTAATAAGTGTAAATCCAAATACAGTAACACTTCCAATATAGCACACTTGCCACATAGCCCATTACAGCCATACTTTTGAAGGAGAGTATAGTACTACTAATTAGCAACTGTTTTGGTGAATGAGGAAAATGAATGGAGAATTTAATGAAGATGTTAAAGCAGAGAAGGGAATTGCATAGAATGGAACCCATGGATATATATTTGAGATGGAGACTAAAATCACAGTTAAAAGCAATGCAGCTGGAAGAAAGAATACTGCAGGATTAAGAAAGAGCCTGTGACCTAGCTTGTGGAAGCAAAAAGCATGAGAATCACTTGTCTAATCTTGGGCACATTTCAGGAATGACCATGTATCAGAGAAGCCTCCAGCTACCTTTGTCGTTCAGGGAAATGGAAAGTTTCAGCAGTGGAGTGGGATGACTGACGTTGGACATGGGCTTTATAGTCTGATAGACCTAAATTAAAATTTTGGCTGTGCTACTTGGTAGCTGTCTGACCTTGGATAAGTTATTTGACACCCAATGTCTCTTCTATAAAAGAATGATAAATTCTAACTCATGGAGTTGTTTCCAAGATTAAATAAGATATATATGTAAAGTGTTTTTGTTTTTTGTTTATTGCTTCCTTTGCTAACAAAAATATAAGATCTGTATGGACAGGACCTTTGTGTTGTCCCTACACCTGTTGTACACATGTACTATTAGACCCTTAAACATTTGTTGAATGACCAAGTGAACTTGTCAAAGAGTGTGGGGTGTCTGTATATAATAAGCCCATATGAATGATGTGAGGAAAATACTCCCAAGCTGCAGTGACATTTATAAAATTATCATGATCCATCCTTGTCTAAATTTCTATTACATTTATTGTCCAATCATTCAAGTAATATTTAATCACATCCTGTTGTATGTCCTAATCTATTTTATGTTTTATTTTCCCAAGTGGACTGTTAAGCTTATGGAGTATAGAGAATGGTATTTATCCATCATCATCCAGTCTGATGCTATGCTTGTAGATCTCCAGATTGGAATAAGAATATATGCTGTGAATTATTGGGCCACATAACCAGGAATTTATACCTGATAATGGTGATTGGTCATGGTAAGATTTTGGCTGAAGTTGAAAATATGTTCTCTTCAGTGGATATTTGTCAGATGAAAGACTGAAAGACATGATGTCAATGGACAACAAAAGGACAGAAAGATCTATATGAGAGTATTTATGTTCTAATCCCAGAACAGAGTGTATGTGTTGGTGGATATTTTGAGGTTTCTTGATCTCAAATACATGATGTCTCTTGCTTCTGGGCCTTTGTGCATGTCTTTGCCTGGAAAATTTACCTTACTTTCTCTCCTTTATTTCCTAATTCCTACTTGTTGTTCAGTTTTCAGCTCAAAGTCACTTTCTCCAAGACACCTCTGCAGTACTGAACTAAGTCTGGACAAAGTGTCTCTCATCTGGGTTCCCATAGCACTCTGTGCTTCCCCTATTATAACACATACAAAAGTATACTGTAATTTTCTGTTTGTTTGTTTGTGTTCCCAACTAGACAATAAATCCATAAAGATAAGAGTTGTATATACCTTACCATTATACCATAGTACTGTGTCTATTACTCAATAAATATTTGTTGAATAAATGAATGAAAAGTGACTAAAGGAAAGGAAAAAAATCTTCAAAATAATAGCTGTCATTTGTTGGATGACTATTAAGTTACTGGGCCTTTATATAAGTTAATATTTAATCCTTGCAACAATCCAGATGGAGCAATTGAGTTCAGAGAACTTAACATGGTCAAAGTGATACTACTGAGATTTGAACCAGGATCTCTAGATCCAAAGCCTCTGCCCTTTCTGCTTGGTAATACCTCATGCCTTACGTTTGTATAAGTTATTACAGTCTACAAAATTTTTTATTTCTTATAACACCCTTGTGAAGCTAGATGTTACCTGCCACTTTGTATCTAGTAACTGGCAAAGCCATGATTTTAAAATTAGATAGTTTGGAACTGCATTCATTCCCTTTTCATAATAATACAACTGTCTCATTCTTGGGGATTCAGAGGTGTAAGGCCATCCATTACAAAAGTGGTGAGATAATAAAATTTAAAAAATTATAAGATGTTTTTGATTCATAAATATTAGAAACAATTCTAGGTAGATGTATTTTAGCAGGGCTGGAATAAATTCCATATTTTCTTTGTCATTTTTTTCCAAGAAGGGGAAAAATGAACAAAGTTGGGGATGATTGTTGTTAATACCATCAAGTGCTTTCTTCTCTTTGATATCTAATTGTTTCCTGGCCTCATATTGCTATGAGCTCAAAAATCATAGCAGCTCTACAGAAGAGATTCTTGCTGGTGGGGCAAAACGTACTGTTGGGTGAATTTAATGCAGCTCCTTCCTGCCATTACCCTCCTGGTAGCAGTTTGTTTTGCAGTTACTTTGTTTATCCCACACCCCTAAAATTGTGGCTTCTGGTAGGAGGGAGTTTAGTGGGTTTGCCCTGGAGGTCATTGACTTTGGCCACTTTTGGCCAGTGACTTGACTTTGCTCTTTACTCTCCCACCAAAAATTACTTCTGTTGAGAAGTAAGGGGAGTGAGAATAGGATAGTAGAGAGTGTTGTATTTTTGACTGAAACAAGCAGAGACTCAGAACTAAGGAAAGTAAATCTCCACAACACCTTTCCAAAAGTAGAGAAGTCTCCCACACGTGCAGAGAAAAGAAAATTTAGTGTGAAAAGAAATTCAAATTTATTTTCTTAGTCCTGCTAGAGTCCTGGCAACTGCTTTGATCCACATGGGTCACTGGATGGTTGGGCAATACAAATGCAAACTCTCAAAAAGGAAAGAGTATTTTTTAAATTTTAAAAAGTATTTTTTAAAAGCATTAGAAGATTATAGTTTTCTAAGACCACAATTAACCAAAATTTGATTATCTCTTAATAAAATATTAGACTTAAATGAAAGACTTCAAAACCAACTGTCAATTTGAAAATAAATTGCTCTAAAGCAAATATAATCCCAATGTATATCTTGATTATTTGCTACTTTGTTCTGCCCTGTACTGTTCTGTTAATGTTTGATGAAGCCACAGTTCATTATTTACTTTTCTTTGATCTCTACACCAGCTAAATACATTTGTGTTTCTGTTTTTCTTGTGACTTTGCGTTTGTACTATCTGGCATTGGAACTTTGCTGAACAAGTTAGACCTTTTATGGTAGAGAAAGAAAAGAGTGTGAGTAACCCAGGCCGGAGTAGGTTGTGGTTGAATAGAAGAAAATTCCAGGCTAGTTTTTAAAATTTGAGGTATAGTTTATATACAAATTTATAACATAAATAATATAAAATATGTCAATTTACAGTAGTCAGTAAATTTTAAACAAACATTTTAAAGTATGTATAACATGCATCTAACTGCGAGCTGTCAAAATACAGAACATTTTCAGTACCACAGAAGGCTCTTAGATGTGCCTTCCCTGACATTACCTACTCACAAGGAAAACCACTATTCTAATTTCCATCACTGTAAATTAGTTATGTCAGGAGAGCCGTTTTTACCAGTGTTTTCCACATGAGACCTCATGAATGGGAATGACTGATACAGAGCTGGCAATTGAGAGTAAGTTCAAATTCTGTGGGATGAATATGTAACAGTTGTGGTGCACTCATTGCTTCCTAAAGACAGATATTCCCAACTGGTTCTATTCAGTTCCACACTGGCCAGGGGGCAGTTTTCCCTTCGGTATCCATCTCCACATAGGATGTCCAAATTCCCACATTAAGTCCCACTCGCTCTTCAAGGGACATTTTAAGAGTGTCCAGGTTGGTTAGATGGTTAATGTTGACAGGAAAAGGGTCAATGTGGGGTACACATTAAGAACAATTCATCACAGAGTCCTTTTCTCCATGCTCCTGGACCTAAAAAGTCCCCACTTCACTTTGAAAGGGCCTCTAGTCCTGGATCCCATCCAGGTCTGTTCTCCGTCTCTGCTTGTCTTGATCTTAGCTCCAGGCATATTTACTCTTAGGAAACAAAAAGGCTGGACTCATATACCCATACTTTTTCTGTCTCACACTTAATCCATTGGGCTTTGGGGTCTTTGTTTCTGCTTCTGGGCTAAGGGAAGATAATAATGATCTTGGAAATTGTTCCGTATCAGTCCTTACAGATTTGCCTTACTCTTAGAAGGTTGCATATGATTCCATTATATAGATGTATCCCAATTGGTTCAATATTTTGATATTTTAAATAATGCTGCATAAATATCTTTGCATATGTCTTTTCTCATTTGTATCAAATGAGGATAAATTCCTAGGAGAAATTTCTGAGTCAAAGATGTATAGACACTTAAAATTTAATTTTAATAGTGCCAAATTGTTCTCAGTAGAGCTAGTACCAATTTATACTCCCACCGGCAATGTACGGATATTCCTTTTTGTACTTGTTGAAAATTTGTTTTTTAAAAAATTTTTGCCTAGTGTTTTTGCTGTGTGGAAATTTAAAATTTTAATGTATTTAAACTTAATCAGTTTTTAATGATTTCTGGGTTTTGTGGTATATTTAGTAAGGCCCTCCCTACTCTGAGTCTATGCTTTATGGTTTTTTCCCCCCACTTTTGTGTTTTAAAAAAAAAGTTTAAACTTTTATGTACTAAAAATTTATTTTGACATAAATGTGACATAATTTTTAATAGATAGCTAACCTACTTGTTCTAAAACCATTTACTTAATCATCCACCTCCCTCTGATGTGCAATGCCACCTTTATACTAAATTCTTTAATATATGTCTTTTCTAGACCTTCTATTTTGTTTCACTCATCTGTCTGTCACTCATTCAGTGGCACCACACTATTTTAATTGGTGAAGTTTCAAAATAAAAATAAATATAGTGGGCTTGTTCCCCTCTTATTATTAATTTTATATTTTTAGAGTTTCCCAGCCTTTTGATTTTTTTCTCTTCCATGTGCACTTTAAATATATCTCACTATTTTTCCAGCAAAAATTCTGATTGTATTTTTATTGTGATCATATTAAATTATAAGTTTAAATTAGGGAGAAATGCTCTCTTCTTGATGTTGAGTCTTCCTAATCATGAACGTGGTATTAATTTTCATGTGTTCAAGGTTATTCTTTGTATTCCTTAGTAGTATTTTAAAATTTTCTCCATAGTTCTTGCACATTTCTTGTCAAGTTTATTCCTAAATATTTTGCCATGTTCTATTGTTATTATAAGTGAGATTTTTATCTTTGTATTTTTAAACTGGATGTTTGTATTAACACATGTGAAGACAATTAATACTTGTATACTAATTTTGTAACCATTCACATTGCTGACTTCTCTTTTAAAAGTAGAAATTTGTCTTTTGTTCTCCCTTTAAAAGTTGAAGCAATTGATGGATGATCTACAAGTTATGTTTGTCTCCTTCAGGACAGTATTAGGTAATAATTATGAGAATGGTCATCTTTGAACTAACATTTAAATTCATGTAAAATTATCAAAAAGGCTATAAAATATGCTTCCTTAAAACCACCACAGCGCATATGTTTTTAGAAAGGAAATGGCATAAAGTCAAAATGCTTTTTGAAAGGGTATCATATGTGTTCGAATCTGTCATGTATTTGTTCAAATGAATCTTCTCAGTGATAAACCTCCCTGGCCACCTGTTTAAAATTGCACCGGCCCCCCACCCCAACCCCCTTCCCGGACCTTCCTAGCCTCATGTCCTGGTTCATTTTCCTCCTTAGTGTTATCACCGTTCTCCAAGGTCCCTCCACTGGAAACAACAGCAGGGATTTTTACCTTTTTTGTTTGCTTGTTTACTGCTATATCTTTGGCATCTAAAACAATACTGGGCACATCATACATGCTCAGTAAAAACTTGATGGATAACAGACACTTCTTAGAAAATTCAGGAAAGGCGTTATAAGTGACTTGCTTGCCCCCAGGTAGATGCCGGTGTAGAATAGGAATTAATTACTTGAAGAACTAGGTGATATTTAAAATTTTGTTGTGACATTATCACAATTTAAATTTCTGGCACATTTCTGTTTTCTCCATAGTGATGAACAAGTCTTCGAATCCCAGTGGGTTTAGGAAGATGAGGACCAGGTGGTGGCAGCTGTGAAGAGGAGACTAGGCTCAGCCATGAGGCAGCAGGAATTCCCATAGAGCTCCCTGGCTGGTATCCATTTTGAAGAATAAATTATTTTTCATTTCTTTTGCATCAATTACCACAAAAGTATTTCACTAGGAAGAGAATTCGCCAGGAGGACCTGAACCCCACAGTACAGTCTTCGTGGGAGGAGGTGAGCTGCGTGTCCTTCTACTCAGCCATCTTGGCATTATCCGCCACAGTACAATCTTAATATTGCTCAAAATAGCTGTTCTTTTCTTTGAACCTAATTTACCATTAAAATTAAACACAGAAAAATTCTTTCACTAAAGCAGCGAGAGACTTCATCTCTAAGGGAGACAGTTTGGGCTCAGAATGTAACTAAGAAAAAGGGAGGGAGGGAGAAAGGGAGAGAAAGAGAAAGGTTATGAGGTTCAAACAAATTAGCTGGTGATATTTTGTGCAAGTTCTGTTGGAAAATTGTTCTAGTTGCCTTAGTGTGGGAAAATGAGTTGCTCAGCAGTGACTGCTAAAAATACAGCAACTAGAAAGACAAGGCTGCTGGATGCTGGCACATTTGCCTGGCTAGTGCTTGGTGGTTGTTTGTTCTGCAGTCTAGTTGCAGTAGAGTGCCGATGCCTCTCCTCTGAGTTTGCTCAGGTAGGATGGGGATTAACCTGAATCTGGAGGACCAGTAACAAGGCTTAATTCAGAGGCAGAAATTGGGGATCTCCAGCTCAGATGCGCTCTTCCCTTTTGTGCTATTATTGGCACCATGATTAGGCTGAATTTAGACTACCATTCCCATCTCACCTGATAGGAAAATAGGAGGTTACTGCATTAGGACTGAAGGAAATCATGAATGTCCGCCTGCTATTAACAATGTTTTCAGATAAAAATTACAAGAGCCATATGTTATGACCCTGAAGTGGATTTCAAAGCAGTCTTGAGTTCATCAGAACCAGTCTCTGCCCTCCTAGTATTGTGGTTCCTGTTCATGTATTCCTTTCCTTCCTTCCACTCCATCCCAGATACAAATAAAGGACTGGCTTCTTCAGTAGGGTAAAGGAAATGTAATCCCATCTTTTGTTTCATTTCAATCAGAGACAAGACAAAAGACCTTACTATGCTCCACAAGGTACCGCATGCTCTCCACTTCTTACTGCTTTCCTCCTTGCTCACTTCGCAGCAGACTGGCCTCTGCTGTTCTTTGAATACACCAGGCACACTGGTCCCAGGGACTTTGCCCTGCTGGGTGCTCCTCTTAGCATGCTTTCCGCTCAGATCTCTTCATGGCTTACTCCCGCACTTCCTTCAGGTTTCTGCTTAAATGTCATCTTATTAAACAGGCCTTAGCTGACCACCCTGTCTACATGCCTCTGCTATTCCTTTTACCCAGCCTTGTGTTTTGTTATTGTTTTTACCACCACTTGACAGATTATTTATTTGTTTATAGTCTGTCTGTCTGCGCTAGAATGTAAACTCCACCAGAGCATGGACTTGTTTTGTTCACCACTGTGTTCTCAGTGCCTAGAATGGTATCTGACAAATGAAGTAGATGCTTGATAAATACTGGTTGAATAAATAAAATTTCCTTTAGTCCTTGACACTTTAATGTACAGGTTTATTTGTTTTTGTTTCCTGTAATGTATTTGATTCTTCTGTAGTACATGGATGTATTTGTATTTTGCATTAGCAGGCATTTATTTTTGCAAAATATTTTGTATATATGAACTTTTAAAAATCAAACATGATAGGATATGTGTGAAGGTTCTATATGAAGCTGATTAATAAAAAATGGTCCTGGAATTCTTAGAGTATATATTTTTAATTTTGGTTTTTATCTTTTTCTACCCATTACACTCTACGTTGGGTAGACAAAGACTAAAATAAGACATTTACTCAACTCTTCATTATCCATGCTAATGAACAAGTTACTTGTTATAACAATTTTGCTTGTTTTTGTCATTAGACTTTCGCTCATTTTAAGAGGATCAGTATTTTGGATGAGAAATTTTGGTTATAGGCTACATAGGGGAAAAAAGTAAGTAAGGAATAAGGTAGCAGGTGGTTTTGTTATGTATTCTGCTTAATGATACCTAAGGATTTGAAAGCAAGATTTGGTATGGTCACACTCCCCTTGTTTTTTCTCCTACTGTACTCATTTAGTTTCTTCCAATAAAAATAGATAATTAAGATTTTTTTCTGTACATTAGCAGATAACAGAATTACTGAATATAGTAATATAGTGAATTATTATACATTATTTGGAGAAATTAGTACAGATATATTTATGTTAATCGGGTGTGAGTTTCAGGAAAATGCATGTTCAGATAGAATGGGTCTTCCTTTCATCCTATTCCTTGGGAAAATCTTGATAGGAAAAGATGAGATTCTAGAAACTAAAAGAAAAAAAGGATGTATTTTATGTAGAAAAGATAGCACAAGAAAAGATTTGGATATAGTACTGTACCATGAAGGGGTTCTGGAAGTTAACCAACACACTGTAGACCCTCAACATGCATCAAACCATTGCTGAACATACAGTTGGCATTTATTCATTAATTCGCTTATTCTTCATTTATTTATCAGACATTAGTTGAATGCCCAGTATATTCCAGATTTTTGTTGTTGAAATTAATTGATTTCCAATATTATATTAGTTTCAGGTATGAATAACATAGTGTTTCAACTTTTTTTAAAGATTATACTCCATTTAAAGTTATTAAAAATAATGGCTATATTTTCCTGTACTGTACGATATTCCTTGTAGCTTATTTATTTTAAACATAGTAGTTTGTATCTCTTAATCCCCTACCCCTATATCACCTCTCCCTCCTTCCCTCTCCCCACTGGTAACTACTAGTTTGTTCTCTATTATCTGTAAGTCTGTTTCTGTTTTGTTACATTCATTCATTCATTTGTTTTATTTTTTAGATTCAACATATAAGTGACAACATAAAGTATTTGTCTTTCTTTATCTGACTTATTTCACTCAGCATAGTACCTTCCAGGTCCATCCACATTGTTGCCAATGGCGGCATTTCATTCTATTCTATGGCGGAGTAATACTCCATTGTATGTATATACCACAGCTTCCTTATCCATTCATCTTTGATGGACACTTGGGTTGCTTTTCTATCTTGCCTATTGTAAATAATGCTGCTATGGGCATTGTGGTGCATGTATCTGTTTGAATTAGTGTTTTCATTTTCTTCAGAAATGAGTACTTCCAAGAGTCGTTCTATTCTTTTTGTTTTTTGAGGAATCTCCACATTGTTCCAGATTTTAAAGAATTGTTTATTTAAAAATACAAAGTTGAATAATAGTACTGTACCCTCAAGTTGTTCACAACCTAGTTAGGAATAGAAATACTGTACATCAATCAGTAAGTGTAATGAGTCAGTTAGAAATCTATTCAAGGTATGGGAGAGGTGTAGAGTTGGCCCCAGAAGGGAATTATCAATTTAAACTGGGCAGAGTTTGTCTGAGAGGACCATGGTATAAGTAGAATCTAAGAGGAGCTTAAGAAGAGAGCTTGCATGTCAAGGAAGAGATCGAATGATGTTTAAAAAATTATTTGGTATAAAAAAAAGTAGATACATTGGGCATCATCAGAATTAAAAACTGCTTCAAAGGACATCATTCAAAAAATGAAAAGACAGCCCACAGAATGGGAGAAAATTTTTACAAATCATATATCTGATAAGAGATATATCTAGAATACATAAAGAACTCCTAAAATTCAGCAATGCAAAGATAAATAACCTAATTTAAAAATGAGCAAAGCATCTAGACATTTCTCCAAAGAAAATATACAAATGGCTAATAACACATAAAAAGATGCATAATATCATGTAATATCATTAACTATCAGGGAAATGCAAATCAAAATCACACAGATAATACTTCACACCTAATAAGATGCTTATAATTAAAAAAAGACATATGATAACAAGTGTTGTCAAAGAGAAGAGAAATTGGCATCTTGTTGACACACGTTCCACCCACACTCTGTGGGAGGGGATTATACAACGGCCTGTACACCAGCAGGGAATCTTGGGGCCCATCTTAGAATTCTACCCCCTGGCGTTTACTTTTACTCTGCCCAATTTTCTCTTTACTCTTTTGTTCTATTACTGGGAGATTTCCTCAACTTATCTTCCAAATCTTGGATCGAGTGTTTTCGAAATTTTGGCAATCACATATAACCTCTAAGAGTTCTTTCATGGTTTTTTAAAAATATTCTTTTATAAATAAAAATCTAAGGTAGGTGTATGTTATAACCTCTCTCGCCTGAGTTTAATTATAGTCAACAATTTAAAAATCTTGTACCCTGCATTGCCTATTTCTTCAAAATTTTGTTTTGTTTTGTTTTCCCCCCGTTTGTATGTTTTAGCCTCTGACTTTCATGTTGCAGATGGTCCTTAAATGTTTGGTGATTTCTTTACTGTTCACTCATGTAATTTTTTTTAATCAAAGTAGAGTCGATTTACAATGTTGTGTTAGTTTCTGGTGTACAGCGTAATGATTCAGTTATATATATATATATATATATATATATATATATATATATATATATATATATTCCTTTTCATATATATATATATTCCTTTTCATATTCTTTTTCACTATAGGTTATTACAAGATATGGAATACATTTCCCTGTGCTTTACAGTAGGACCTTGTTGTTTATCTATTTTAAATGTAGTAGTTAGTATCTGCAAATCCAGAACTCCCAATTTATACCTCCTCTCCCTCCTTTTCCTCACTGGTAACCAAAATTTGTTCTCTATGTCTGTAAGTCTGTTTCTGTTTTGTAAATAAGTTCATTTGTATCATTTTTTTTTTTTTAGATTCTACATGTAAATGATATCATATGGCATTTATCTCTTTCTGGCTTACTTCACTTAGTATGATGACCTCTAGGTTCATCCATGTTTCTGCAGATGGAATTATTTCATTCCTTTTTATGGCTGAGTATTACATTACATATATATACCATATCTTCTTTATCCAATCATCTGTCAATGGGCATTTAGTTTGCTTCCATGTCTTGTCTATTGTAAATAGTGCTGCTATGAAGATTGGGGTGCATGTATCTTTTCTAATCAGAGTTTCCTCCAGATATATGCCCTTGAGTGGGACTACTAGATCATATGGTAAGTCTATTTTCAGTTTTTTCAGGAACCTCCATACTGTCCTCCATAGTGGTTGCACCAAATTACATTCCCACAAACA